TGAAAGCCCCCATAGCCTCTTCAATTTTCCTGCTTCTTTCTCTCCTTCCCACCCCCCCAGCCAACCTACCTTTATCTGCTCCTGTATCTTCAGCATTATCTCCCCCCTCCTAGCAGCCTCCACCTAGGAAAACTATGGTCCAGTTGCTTGTTTCCAGGTCAGCCATTGGACCAAGCCCACTTGAATGGTAAGGAGCCCTCAAGAACTTGTGGGGGGTGCCTCACTTTCCCCTGTATCCCCCTCTTCACATTATTTCTTGTTTGCCTCCTCCCGGCAACCCCCATACCCTCTTCCCCTTCTCTGCCTCATTCTGTCTTTTTCAGCCATTCACCAACCTACCTTTTATCTGCCCCCCCATCTTCAGCTATATTGATTATTTATTTATTTCATTCATACCCCACTTTTCTTCACAGCGTGGACCAAAGCAGCTTACATTATTCTCCACTCCTACTTTTTATTCTCACAACAACCCAGTGAGGCAGGTTATGCTGAAAGTACGTGACTAACCTAAAATCACTGGACTCAAACATTGTTCTGTTACCTCAGACCAACATGGCTACCCACCTGATAAAATCACATAGTGATTGAGCTTCCATGGTAGACTGGTGATTTGAACCTGGGTCTCTCAGACCCTACTCTGAAGCTCTAACTGCTATGTCACACTGACTTTCATAGGGTGGCTACTGTTCAGAGGTCATTTGGGGGGGGGATCGCGGGGGATCGCAGTTCCCCCGGGTGAGGTACATGGGGCGGGGCACATGATGAAGCCCCGCCCCCTGCTTCCGGCCGCCCCACTTCCGGCCCTCATTCAGCCAGGAGGAGGCAGGAGAAGAGGGAGGGTAAGTTGCTTCCTCCCTGCCTCTCCCCACCCCTGCCTGCCTGGGGCCAGGGAGGGCCTTGGCGGGGCTTCCTCGCACTCCCGCCACCCTTGCACGTCCACCGCCGGGCCCCTCATGGGGCTCGGCAGTGGAGCTGCAAGGCCGGCGGTGGCAGCCGGGACCGTTGGGGGCGGGGGCGTGGCCTTATGACACATTTCCGGTGATGTCAAAGGGTGTGGCCTTATGACACACTTCCGGTGATATCAGGGGTGTGGCATATGCTAATGAGTTATGCTAATGAGTTCCCCTTGCTCTTTTTCTACGAAACGACCCCTGCTACTGTTGAACAGTAGCAAGCAGCCAGGCCTCGTTGAGTAATGCAAGTCAGGTGGTATCAAGTCACCCAGAGGTTGCTTCCAGGCTGAAGGGTGCCAGCCTATAGGCGGGACTTGGAGATATCCCAGAATTACAACTGAACTCCAAACAACAGAGATCTGTCCGCCTAGAGAAAATGACTGCTTTGGAGGGTGGACTCTATGGCATTATATTTGGCTAAGGCCTCTCCCCTCCCCAAAACTTGCCCTCCCCAGACTTTACCCCCAAAATCTCCAGGAGTTTCTGAACCTGGATCTGGCAACCCTACTCAGGCCTGGCCCCTATGAGTTCTCCCTCAAAGGCCAAAAAGATAGCCACTGAGGGAATGGGTTGCTTAAAGCCACAGGCGTTCCTTTTATAATTTCCAGGTTTTTTAAGCTGTCCAGTGTATTTTATTTAGATTTCACATTTTTCTGCAAACCTGGAGCCCTTTTCAAGTTTGTAGAAAGATCTGTCTTGCCCATTCACAGCTCCAGTCACCAAATTTAAGTGTCCAAAGATTAGTATATAGATTATCTGCTAAATGAAAACAAAAATGAGAAAATAATACCTGTCAGCCTATCTCATAATTAATATTCCATTGGCTTCAATTTGACATAATAATCACTAATCTGATTATTGGGGGTACTGGAGCCCATGAGGTAAATATTATTGCTTGTCCTTTCATACATATTGGGTGGAAATGCAATAAAGTATCATTTTAATTACATCTTCGGTAACATTTATTGGTCAGCTGAAAAGCCAAATCCCATCTATTTGCCCCAGTGGCTTCTTAGGTACATTAGAGATTTACCATTGCTCACTCTGTAGACAACATGCAGATCTGGAACCCTAGCAGGATGAAGGATAACTGGATACCAAACACCCAGCTTTCTCACGTCAAGTCCTAAAAGAGATGAAATCAAATTTTAAAAAGATTAGAGTGGTATTAAACAAAATGTTTTGCCCTCTGCAGTCCTTGAGGGAAGATGTTAAAAAAATTCTGTTAGAAGAGGGATGTCCCTGCGGTGATGGGAAAACAGAAACATTAGAACATGTCATCTTTGATTGTAAGATGTATAATCGGATACGTGGAGTTTATATATTGCCCATACTTTCAGCCTATCCGGGGAGACATAGAGCCCTACCTCTCTCTATAATACTCTCTAATAAGAGCCAGGACATAATATACAAGGTTGCTAAATATGGTTGGTTGTGCAAACAAATAACCAGAATGTACAAATCACACTTGAGACTTCTGTCTTCTTATACAGTTCTACTTACAACCAGTGTTCCCTCTAAGCTGAGTTAGTGTGAGCTAGCTCACAGGTTTTTAGTCTCTGGCTCACTCATTTTTGTCTTAGCTCAGGCGGTGGGCAGAACCAGAGAACATAAGAGAACATAAGAGACGCCAATGTTGGATCAGGCCAAAGGCCCATCCAGTCCAACACTCTGTGTCACACAGTGGCCAGAAATACCAGTGCCATCAGGAGGTCCAGCAGTGGGGCCAGGACATTAGAAGCCCTCCCACTGTTGACCCCCCCCCAAGCACCAAGAAGACAGAGCATCACTTGCCCCAGAGCCCCTAGCTATACCTTGTGGCTAATAGCCACTGATGGACCTCTGCTCCATATGCTTATCTAATTCCCTTTTGAAGCCGTCCATGCTTGTAGCAATAAGAACATATTCCAGAGAAAACATGGTTCCAGAGAAAACTAATTTATGCAGTAACCAAATTGCTTGCTCACAACTACAATGCCAGTAGCTCATGAAGTAGAATTTTTGCTCACAAGATATCACAGCTTAGAGGGAATATTGCTTACAACCATAAATAATACACATAACAATTGGTTTTGCCACCATGCATAAATGACATCTGCACCAGTTGAATAGTGACCAGATAGTCCTTGAAAGTACAAGTCTCTCTTTAGAATGATAAAGTCACCGGGTTATGATGCAGAGAAGAGTTTCCAAAAGAAAACATGCAGTAGATGCAGGAGTCATTTCCTGCAGGAGTGCACAGGAGCAGAGCTCCGGCAGTAAAGAGCCCAGGGGGCGGACACATGCAACAAGCCCCACCCTCTGCTCCCAGCAACCCTCGGTTAGAGCAAGAAGCAGCCAGGTAAGCTGCAGAGCTCCCCCCCCTGGCCCCTGGTCCAAAACTGTCCAGTGGCACCTTTAAGACCAAGTTTTATTCAGGTACAAGCTCTCCCTCCTCTGTGAGGACAGATCTGCATGTCCCCCCCCCCAATAGCTAGCAATCCAATCAGCAGTCCAGTGGAGCCTGAGTGGTGTGTGTTGCCTTCTGACACACTTCCGGTGATGTCAGGGTGTGTGGCATATGCAAATACGTTATGCTAATGGGTTATGCTAATGAGCTCCTTCACCTCTTTTTCTACAAAATGACCCCTGAGTAGATGGCATAGGCTCAAGACTGTAGTGCGAATCAAAGGAGCGGTGATGGCACGCCTTGGTTGCTTTGCATTTCTTAGGGCTTCATCAGCCTGCTTTTCTTAGTGATGGAACCCACACAGCTCTGGCAAGATTCAAAATGACATGAAGTCTACAAGGATATTCCAAATAGCTAGGAATCTGGCTCTGATATTGTTGGTTGGCATCAATGCTCCCTCTATGCTGTGGAGTCTTGTGAGCAAAATTTCTGCTTGGTGAGCTAGTGGCATTAAAGCTGTGAGTGATTTGCCCACTGCATAAATTAGTTTGCTCTGGAGCAATGCTCCCTCTAAGCTGTGGAGTCTTGTGAGCAAAAATTCTACTTTGTGAGCTACTGGCTTTAAAGTTGTGAACGAGCGATTTGGACACTGCATAAATTAGTTTGCTCTGGAGCCCTCCTTCCTGAGCTAAGACCAAAACATGTGAGCCAGAGGCTAAAAAACTGTGAGCTAGCTCACACTAATTCAGCTTAGAGGGAACACTGCTCTGGAGCCATCCTTCCTGAGCCAAGAAAAAAATGTGTGAGCTGGAGGCTAAAAAACTGTGAGCTAGCGCACACTAACTCAGCTTAGAGGGAACACTGGTTGGCATTGAAGTGCAGGAGATCTCTAACTAATATACAGAGGGACCTCCCCAATTCTGTTATTTATGAAAATTAAGACTGTATTTTCAACACTGAAATTTATTCTATGATTGTGAATTTTTTTTAGTGTAACATATTGTTTTATATATTTATATAGTTTATCTACTATTTTTGTACTATTCTTGCTGGTCTTGGACTGTAGTAATAAATCACACATATCACTAACAAAATGGTAGCGGAACAGCATCTCCAAATGTGGGTTGTCTGAAGAGCTGAAAGGCCCAGGACTGGGGAGGGAATGAATTCAAGTGAAAAGCAGTAGGGGGATGGGAAGTGATGGACCATTCTTCCGACTGCTGCTTTGCCCCCAAACAACTTCTGTCTCCCCCTTATCTTCCCCTGTATCGCTGTTCGGCATGACCACCCCTACTGTACAATTCTATGCAGATTTATTCCAGTTAATTGGGTAGTGGATTAGAGTAATTCTGCGTTACTGGAGTAATGCTGTATAGCATTGCATTACTGGACATGGATCAGGTCTTGGTCACTTGTAGGTCCATTCTAGAACAATGCTGAAGGTTTCTAGAACTGTCAGCAGGACTGTGTATAATGTATATTTTTTAAAAATCAATTTTTATTCAATTATAACATTTCAAAAACAAAACAGAACTTTTTCAGTTATAGACAGAGTAATTCGTCTATGTCAATGAGATAAATTATGATATATTACAGAAAGTTATAAGGAGAACATTATATTAAATACTATCAAAGCTAACTTAATAGCTAGTTAAAAGTATAGCAGATTCTTATATTTGGAAGTATCTCACTTTCCGCGAGGTATTTAACTATTGGGAACCAGACCGCTTGAAATGTTTTTTGGTAGCTTTCTATATTTGTTCTCATGGATTTTGCTGTGATTCTGACATGAACAAAATGTTCCCATAGCTGATTATTATTATTATTATTACCACCATAATAAGAGTGTTGGACTCTTGTTTTCTTTCCATTTTTGTGCTATTGAGATTATTGCTACCGTGATAAGAGTAGAGACTAATATCGTTTTCATTTTGTTTCCTGTAGGATTGGACCAAGTATTCAGTAGGACCATTTCTGGGGTATCAGGTAAGTTAAAACCAGTATTTATAAAAATTTGCATAAGAATATGTGCCCTGAATGTCTTAATTATTGGACAGTACCACCAACAATGAATGAAATCTCTGACTTGGTTACATGAGCAGGCTGTCTAAGCGCCAGAGGAAACAGGAGTACAGCTGCTGCAGAGCCAGTTGCAGGAGCCCCAGAGGGGAGTGCACATGTGGCCACTGCTGAACGGGGTGCCTGAGCCCTATGTTGTAGGGGTGGGGCCATGGGTGGTTAGGGGCTGCCCTGGATGCCCCATGACTAAGATTGTTCCTGGATATTGGAACATACAAAAATAGCATTCCACACCTGCTATTCTACAAAGACAGGACTTTACCAACTCATTCTGCTGCATGTGTAGGCCTGGCCTTAGTGGTCACATCACTGAAGTCAATCTCAAATCTTTTATATCATCAATGGAAAACGCAGTGCATTGGCAATGGCTGCATTAGGGTCCTTTCTGCACCCGTATTTTGCCTCGGTTTCTGAGGGCATCCTGCTCTTCTGTTCTGCTTTCCCTCCCGCTTTCACTTTGTGTCGGGGTTTTCTCTTGTTTCTGCATTTGTTTTCCATGAATCTGCATTCAGACCGCTTCCAGCACACTGTTGCCCCTCAGTTACCAAAACTCCTTTTGCTGCGATTCTTTGTTCTCATCCGGCTTCGAATCGCTAATCCTTTCTAAAGTAGAATTGTTTCTGCGGGTATTTAAGTGCTGCCCACTGCCCCTCCCCCGTTTCCGCCCCTCTCTCTCTTTAGGCTGATGCTCCCTCCCTGTTCTGTTTTCTTTCCCTCCTTCTCCAAAGACAAAAGAGGACGTGTCCTCCCACTCAGGCAAACTTTTAAAAAGCCAGAGAGAGCATAAGAAGGAATCAGTAAATATAAAGGACTAGGGGATTCCCTGCTCCCAAATGTGTCAGTCTTGCATGTCTGGGCTTGGATTTCCCCCTCCCTGCCCTTTCTTTTTGTAGAATCATGGAGGGAGGGAAGGGTTGGCAGCCAGTTAGCTCATGAAATGCAGGTTTTGCTTGTAGATGCAGAATGCTTACAGAATACACAAATAAATAAGCCAGAGGGGGAGAAACCAGTGCAGAGGGATTGTGTGCGACTGCAAAGTCAACCCTTAAGATTCTGTGCAGAAAGGGCCTAAGTTTCTTTTTTTGGTGACATCACTGATACAAGGCCGGCCACTTGCTTAGGGGTTGGATCCTATGACTTCCTTCTACTAAGTCTTCCTTCAACAGGAAAAAGACTTCCTCCAATAGACAATTAGGGCACTTTCGCACTCACTAAATAACACACTTTCAATGCACTTTGCAACTGGAGTTTACTGTGTGAAACAACAAAATCCTCTGCCAAACAGTCGCTGAACTGGATTGAAACGGCGTTATTCGGCATGTGTGAAAGTGCCCTTACTTTTTCTAAAGAAGAAAGGCTTCCTCTGTTGAAGGAAATCTTTCTCCATCGGAGGAAAGCTTGGCGAAAGGGAGCCGTCCGGGACAACTTTGTAGAAAGGAATCTAGTCCATCATGTGGTCCCTGCTCTCTGCTGAGGCATCACCGTTTACCTACCTATACTTGTGTTCCCTACCACAAGAGGGGCCATCGGGTACTTGGCTTTCAGGCCCAGAAGTTCCTGGAGAGCAACAGGAGAAATCCATGTAGTTCTTTCTCCGTTGAAAACCAGAGTTCTTCGTTTGCTTTCTTCAGCGATTCTCTGTAAGGAAAAACAAAAATGGTACATCACGTTAGGAATAATGTTGCTACCACATGAATATGTTCGATTATTTTAAAGCAGAAACACTTTGGTTGCACTGGTAAAAGGATAAGGATTGTGGCCTATACTAATATATTGCTGCCTATCACTGTACGTGGGGTCCAGACTAGGTAGTTTCTACACCACTTAACATATCATGTTTAAAAGCACATGCTTTGTTTCAGCACTGTCTGAGATTTCTGTTTGCCTTCATATTTCTGTAGTACAATCCCTTTGTACTGTTCATTGGATGTCCCATCCTGTTGATTGTACTTGACTTACCCATCTTAAAAAGGTAAAGGTTCCCTTGCTCGAAAGTCAGTCGAATCCGACTCTAGGGTTGTGGTGCTCATCTCTGTTTCAAAGCCGAAGAGCCAGCGCTGTCTGAAGACGTTTCCGTGGTCATGTGGCCGGCATGACTAAACACCAAGGTGCACGGAATGCTGTTACCTTCCCACTGAAGTGGTACCTATTTATCTACTTGCAATTTCTTGCTTTCGAACTGCTAGGTTGGCAGGAGCTGGAACTAGAGACGGGAGCTCACTCCGTCATGCGGCACCCGGATCTCGAACTGCTGAACTACCGACCTTCCACAGCCTGCAGTTCAGCGTCTTAACCACTTGAGCCATCTTACATTTTTTTAAAAAAAGTAACCAAAACTTACCCCCTTAGGGTTTTCTCAGCCAAGGTTAACCACAAAAATCAGCAGAAATGAATGTTTGGACAGGGTTGTACTAGGGTGTGGTAAACATATTTTATTTATCTTCTGCTTTAAAAAACCCCCACAATTTAATTAAACCAATCATTTTCACACTCCATGCTAATCAAGCAGCTAATTAACAGCTTATGAAACATAAAACTACTCTCTTTGTCAGAACATGTCTTACTATAAAACTATAAGTCAAGGCGATTTAAGTCTGCAGCAAAACGGCATCCAAAAAAAACCAGGGCAACAGTGGGCCGAAACTGGGCCGACCACTCAAGGGAGGTAACGTAATGCAGAACGGGTGGGGTGGGGTGGGTGGAATAAAAGGAAGGTTGAATTCAATTTTAGTGCAGAATGGGGGGGGGGAACAGAATAAAAAGAAGGCTGGATTTGATTTTGGTGCAGAATTGCTTGGAGGACCCTGTGGTGAACATGGATTAAAAGCAGGAAACGGCCTATGGCCCACCCATTTCTTTTAAATCCATCCATAGCTTTTCATGATCCACATGGTCAAAGTCTTTGCCAAGGTTAACCTTTGTTCTTATTGTGATCTAGCAGAGAAAGCTTAATCCCATCTAAAACTGGCAGATCTGGGTTGAAAACCTATATGCCTATTAGAAATTATTCTCAACGAGCACAGGTAAAAGGATTGTTTCCTACCATGAGTTCAGGTGGAAATATATAATCTTGGGTTGGGTCCATGGGCTGGAAGTCTTCTGGCTGGCAGAGACCTGAACACATCTAATGGAAACGAAATTAAAGCCCAGTATTAGCATACATGGTCAGCAGAAGAGAAGGATTAATATTTCAAGACTGTGTCCCCGCGAACAGGCTCAGGGCGGCTTACAAAGGGCACCATGTGCCTACACATAAAAGCAATAAAAACAAGACAATCAATTTAACAAATAAAGTGCTCATTAGTTTCAATCTCTCAATATAACAAGGTGGTATCTCAGAAATGTTATGCGAGCCATGACTAGGGCCATGGAGAGAAAGCATGGACGTTTTACTGGGGTCAGGGGGGGGGACATCCTAAGTTGCAAACCCTGGTCTACTGAGGTCATTTCAGAAACAGATTTTTTCTTTCTTTCATGACTCATGCGATCACGTGTATGGGATGGAATTGTATGAGTGTTGGGGCCTTTGTGAACTTTGTTCCAGGCCCAGAGAAAACATGCTTTGGTCCTTTCCACACCTGGTGCCACTGACGCTGAGAAAAGGTTCTTCACAGACCTAGGAGATCAGCAGTTCCAAGAGAGGAGGGTTTATAGGTTATATACAACTTTGCTCCACTCAAAAACTCACCGGCATTCGCAGAAGAGTATGCGTGTAGAGTGCCGCAACTGACTTATGGTGACCCCATAAGGTTTTCAAGGCAAGTGATTAAGCGGCAGTGGTTTGCCGGGGCCTTCCTCTGCAGAGTCTTCCTTGGTGGTTTCCCATCCAAGCCCTGACTCTGCTTAGCTTCCAAGATCTTAGGAGATCGGGCTATACTATACCATTCCACATCCCATTACAGAAAATTACAGAAATACGGAAATTAGGAGGCCATAGCTTACCCGATCTCCTCTTTTAGGCTCTGGAGCTAAATCTTCTTCTTTTTCGCTCCTCTTCTCATCTTCTTGATCCAAGCAACACTTTCCACTCCCTGCCAGGGGACAGCGCTCCTGCAGGAAGTATTTTTTAAAAAATAACATGATGGTTACAGGTTGCAAGAAATGTACGGTGTGATTGACAGTGCAGTCCTAAGTAGAGATGCACCTTTCTAAACCCACTGATCTCAGGCTTTTCTGCAATCTCATTTCCCTCACTTATAAGTTCCTGTTTCAGGGGTATGTGTGTGTCGGTTCCACATGTGTTTTGCTCTCCCTAGTAGTGGTTGATTCAGTATCACTCAGGCACCTGGCACCTCTTCACTCAAATCCCACTAAGGCTTCTAGCTAGGGTAGCCAGGTCCTCCCTGGCCACCAACAGGGGGTGGAGGGATTGGGTTGCCAGATCCAGGTTGGGAAATTCATGGAGATTTGGGGGTGGAGTCTGGGGATGACAGGGACCTCTGTGGGGTACAATGCCATAGAGTCCACCCTCCAAAGCAGCCATTTTCTCCAGGGGAAGTGATTTCTGGAGTTTGGAGGTGAGATGTAGTTCTGGGGGATCCCCAGGTCCCACCTGGAGGCTGGCATCCTTACTTCCAGCAGAGAGGAGACCGATGCACAGCATTCTGCAGAGAAATTATCACCATGCTTTCTGTCTGACCAGGGTTATGTATCTTGGGTAGGGAAAATTGGGGTGGGGGGGGTAAGGGATACTGTCTTTCCTTTTAGTCTCAGGTGACGTTAGAATACTTTCTTATACGGCTATTGTTTGGCTCAGAGCTTGAAGTGGTTCACATCGACGAACAATTACATCAATTAAAACAGGTACATCAAATATATCAATTGAAACAGATACAAAAACAACATAATAAATGTCCAGTAATACCCTGTGGAATCCTAACACAAATAATACAAATTCATAAAACCAATCTAACCCCATCCCTTAGGAACTGTGGCTCAGTGGTAGAGCATCTGCTTGGCATGCAGAAGATCCCAGGTTCAAACCCTGGCATCTCCAGCTAAAAAGGGACCAGGCAGTAGGTGATGTGAATTTTGTAGTAGAATTTTGAAACACTGTATTGGAGACCCCATCTTGGATGTTGGTTTGTGAGCACCGGTTTTAAATGTAAATGTAATCGGTTGCTTTATCTGGTTTTTATTGTTATGTATGGCAATTGCCTCCTGTCAGCCGCCCTGAGCCCATGTGGAAAGGCGGGACATAAGTCAAATAAATAAATAAATGTGAAAGACCTCAGCTTGAGCTGCTGCCAGTCGGAGTAGACAACACTGACTTCGATGGACCAAGGGCAGTATAAAGCAGTGTCACACGTTCATGTGCCAACTTCCAGGTAGGGCTTGGAGATCTCCCAGAATTACAGCTGATCCCCAGACTACAGACCTCCGTTCCTCTGGGGAAAATGGCTGCCTTGACAGGCAGACTTTATGGTATTCTATCCCACTGAGGTCCCTCCCACCCCCCAGGCTCCAGGGACTTCCCAAACCAGAGGTGGCAACCTTAAGCTTACTAGTCATAAATCTCAGGATATGAAATTCTTGTGTAACCCACGTTAGAAGATGGCTCCGAGGCAGGATATTTTAGGGATCGAGTACATGAGACATCAGGACTTGCTGATGGAGCTCCCAGCATTTTTTCTCCCACTGGGGTCACAGTGGGAGGGGAGGGGTAGTTTCAGCCTTCTCTCTGCACCCTATTAACAGCCTGAAATGGCCCAGGGAACCCATTCTTGGGCCTGCTATGGCGAGCATACAGGCATTCGTATCAGTGCTTGTTTTTGTCTGCCTGTGGGTCAAATAGTGGCTTCCTGGTGCATTGTCTCATCAGGAAAATGGTGTATGGGTGCAGTAGTTGTAGATTGGAATCAGGTCCTCACGACCCTGATCTTTAGAGGGCAAAAACCACTGAGAGCTCCATTTAGGGGACTTCCAGCATCTCATGTAGTTGAGTCTTTAGTTCTTCTCTCTTTATTTGAGAATCTGCAAACAAAAAGATGGCTTCTAGTGCTCCCACCTTTTTTCTAAAATGGAGGAAATATCCCCCCTTTTGATTTTGCCTGTCTGATCTTAAAATGTCCATAACAGAATGTACCACTGCAGCTTCATCCTTAGTACTCAGCTGGGGAGATATATCTAGATCAGCAGGGCCTGGGCAGCTATGAGGGTTGCAGAATATGTTCCTTGGGTCAAAGTATGCAAGAGCTGCCAGGGTGAGTTACGGATAGGAATGGGCACGAACCAGCTCATGAATGAAAGTTCATCATGAATTTTGGCCAGTTCATGGTTCACGAAGTGATGTTCGCCAACTGAAGAACCACCACAAACTTCCACAACTTTTGATGTACTTTGTGGTGGTTCATGAAGAGCAGAAAGCAGGGTTTTTTAACTTTAATTGGCTCATGAACTGATCCAAATTGTTGGTTCATTAACTGGCACATTGGCCCATGGTTTGGTTTGTGGTTCAGCCACAAACCATGAACTGTAGTAGTTTATGCCCATTCCTAGTTATGAAAGTATTCGATGTGCAATGGAAAGCCCTGATGTATCTCAAAGCCCAGTTTCATGCCAGCTTTCCAGTTGGGTGCACTAACACTGCACCCTTAGCAGAATTTGGTTTTGTGTGATGTAAAAAAGTGGGGGGGGGGGTTTGGGGTTTTTTAGCATATGACACATACAGCCTTGCCATTTTCTACCTATGTAGCATATATGAACACATAACTCTATCCTTGGGGTCATAATCACTTTTATAAATGTCATCCTACTCCCTAATTTCCCATTAAAGGACACTTTTGACTGTACCAATGAACTGATTTATTAGGGGTTCCCCCCCCCCTTACCTGAGAGAAAGCACTGAAGCTGTCAATTATAGGTCTGTACCCAGTGCAACGGCATAAGTTGCCTGGAAGAAAGGATCAGGTGGGGAAAAAAAGAAATAAATACTTAAGGTACACAGATTATCTGGGCCACAGACTTCATCTCTAGACTGTTCAACCTGTGGACATTTCTGAGATTTGAATTCATCACCCAAATCTGCTTCTGAAGGTCCATCTACATATTACAAAGTCTTCAAGTTTGTTAGGGAATATGAGGGATTTGTTTCACACGCCCAACAGAAATATTGTGCCTCCTGGATGCACACCAGTTTCTTTCTGTTCGCAACCACAGAACGCAGGGCACGGAAGGAGTGGGAGGGTGGCCCTGGAAAAAGGCCATGCCCTTCGCCTGTGTTGGCCCTATCCCCAGTCAGCCCCAGCCCTGCCCCCCAAAAAGGATGGGCCAGACAAGTGTGGGCCAGGTAGGTGTGTCCCTTGCCGTGGCAAACCCTCTTTCCTGCTTGTGCCCATCCCTCTGTTTGGTCTGGGGTGGCCTTGGCAGGTGTGATGGCCCGTGGGGTTGGATGGCCCCAATGGGGGGCATCTCCCCAGGTCAGCACCCCAGTGGGACTCTTCGTGGATAGCCTTAATGTCAATCCAGTCCGACAGAGGGAGAAGCTGCTATAGCCTCCTCCCCTGCTGTTTTTACATCCTCAGGCAGCCCCGTGGAAACGCTGCTCTAATGTCGTGTCAGTAATGTAATTTTTTATCTCTTTTAAATGTTTTGTCCCTTTGCCAACCAGTTTCCCAAAAACGTTTCGTGAGAAAGCTGGCCTACCATCCAGTGCAGCCGATATCTGCTCCATGGTGGGTTCTGGGTAATTCCTTAGCAGAGAATACATTGACATCACCATTCCGGGGGTGCAGAAGCCACACTGGGAGCCGTGGCACTTAGCGAGCCTTTTCTGGGAGGGAAACAAACTCTGCTCGTGAAACATCTTTAAGCTAATTATCCAGACAGAAAAACAAGCTGAGTCCCCAATAACTTTCTGGAGTCCTCCCTGTTGTGCCCTCCCCCCGCCGCATCAGCCCTGTTTGCAGCATGTTCCTTGTGTCCACCTTTTCTTTCCTGATCCTGTTCTCATCTCTTGATCTCTATCCTTATGAACATCCCAGGGGACGGTCTGAAGGCACATGCCATAGTCACCTTGCTGAAACTAAGAAGGTCTGGTTGGATCCAGACTAAAGCCATAGCCACCTTGCCAGCAAGTGCAGGATGGGAGACTCAGTATCTGGGAACCCCACATACACAGTCTTGAAAAGAAAGGTGTGATATAAATGAAATAAATATAGGCCCCGGTCATACGGGCCGGAAAATGCGGGGGGGGGGGGGGCGTGGCTGTTTGCCCCGGAGCAAAATAACACGCGACTGTGTGATCAGGCATCCGGTTGAGGTCCCGTGGGTAGGGGGGAGGTGCCGATCACATGGCGCGGCAAAGAAGCGGGGTGGCGTGGCAAACGGGGTTGTGTTTTTTTTAAAAAAAAACAAACTGAAATGTGCGCATGCTCCGTTGGGTGCTTGTGCGCATCCCATGGAGACTTGGAAAAAAACACACCTTTTTGCGAGGGGACATGGACGGGCGCCAGATGCCACCAGAAATGCGATCAGTAGCCCGCCCTTGCCCCGCGGTTTCCGGAAACTAGTACCTCGGAGGTACTAGTTTTTTACCTCGCATCTTCGGCAGGAAGCCTTCGGTGAGCCACGGGAGCTCTACGCTTCCCAGATGTGGCGCTGTGATCGCGCCCGGAAAATCCGCCTATCTTCCATCTCTGTAGCGTGGCTAATGTTCCATGTGACCGGGGCCATAATACAGTATAAAACTTCACCAGTTAGATCTATACAGCAGGGGCAGAGACCATCCTGGCTCGATACTGGATGTCACTGCAAAACAAGCATTGGTTCCTTGGCCTTTAGCTCTCACCTGAATGGGATGAAGTTTGGTTTTAGTGCTTCCGACTCCTTCCACGGTGGTCACTGCAGCACCGTACAACGAACACAATGGGAGCAGACAAGAGTTGGCTGGGAAATGTCTTTGGGATGTTAAGGAAAGTCCCGATACCTAACTGGGTTGATTCCTTTTTGCAGTGCTTGGTACAACTGTTTGGATGCACTCATGACTGGCCAAATCCAGCATCAGAATTCAAAACACACCAGGGGTGATTTCCCAGAAGCGCTGCTCTGCGCTCACTCTTCTCTTTGGCCCAATGGTATGTGTCACTTTCACACAAGCTGCTGTGCGACCGCATTTTGCCCCGCAGCTTCGTGTGATTTCCCCCACATCTACTCAATCCTGTTTTTTGAGGATTGAGTAGACGCGGGGAAAATCACACGAAGCTGTGGGGAAAAATGCGGCCGCACAGCAGCTTGTGTAAAATTGACCCGTCCCATCGGGGCAAAAGGGAGGAGTGAGCGCGGAGCAGCGGTTGTGGGAAATCACCCCAGGTTCTGCTGGAAAACCTCCAGGACAACATGCAGTTGTTGCACCCCAGAAGTTTGGAACAGTGACGCACTGTAAGGAGGCAGGTGTGTCCCATCGCTCGTGATTTTCCCAGCTGTAACTCTTACCTTATGACACCAGGAAAGGGGACTGCAATCAAAGGAAAAGTCTAAGAAGAGAATATAGTTTCCTGCCCCTTAGGGCTGCCAGCTCCAGGTTGGGAAATACCAGGAGGTTTTGGGGGGGTGGAGCCTGAGGGTGACGGGGTTTGGGAAGGACAGGGACTTCAGTGGGGCATAATGCCATGGAGTCCACCCTCCAAAGCAGCCATTTTTTCCAGGTGAACTGATCTCTGTTCCCTGGAGATCAATTGCTGGAGATCTCCAGCTGTCTGCCACCCCTGCATACATCAAAATGCCAAAGAGGTGGGGTGGGAAGAAAAATTATTATTTTTGCTTAAGGTAGTAACCTAGTTTGAGTTAGTTTCAGGGTTACTAATGTTGGTATGTAATAGAACAGCCAGATTCGAGTCCAGGAGCACCTCAGAGACCCACAAGATTTTTGGGGCATGGGCTTTCAAGAGTTAAAGCTCTGTGGAAGTATCTGACAAAGGGAACTTTGACCCTTAAAAGCTCATGCCCCCCCCCCCCAAATCTTGCAGGTCTCCAAGATGCTACTGGACCTGAATCTAGTTTGAGTCAGGCACTTATGGCCTCAACAAAAAACTTGGCATTCACAAAGATCCCTTAACTTCTTCACTGTCAGTAACGCTTCTAACTCCATCTTACCCTCAGATTCCGCTTCTCATCAGCCCACAATCTCCTCATCCATAAAGGGGTCAGTGTTGTTGTGCAGTTCAAAGCAAATCAAGTCAGGATGAGAGTCTTCAACTTTGGTGTAGGTCTTTTCCTGCTCTTCTCTGAATTCTCAGCTAGGGATGGGCACGAACCAGCTGATGAACTACAGTTCATCATGAATTTTGGCCGGTTCAAGGTTCGCAAAGCTATGCTTGTGAACTTAAGAACCACCAAAAACTTCCACAAATTTTAGTGCAGTTCGTGGTTTCTGCTCCTCACGAAAAGCTGTCAGGAGCAGAAAGCAGGATTTTCAACTTTAAATGGCTCAAAAACTGATATGAACCAGGTCAGTTTGCGAACCAACCTCCCGGATTGTATGGGTTTGTGGTTCAGTTCGTGATTCAGCCACGAACCATGAACTGAATTACAAAAATGTGTTTTGTGCCCACCCCAATTCTCAGCATGCAGAAGAATTACAATTCCCAGGATCCTTGGCAGAAGAGCCACATCAATTAAAATAGTGAAAAACAACACAATTTTTGTTTCCCTTCTTAAAAAGGATACCGTATCTTCTTACAGTCTGGGTTGTATGTAGAGACCATGACAGTGCAGGCTCCACAGCCTCCAATTCCACAGCCATACTTGGTTCCTGTGAGGCGGACTAATTATGCACGACACAGTTAAGGAAAACAAAGGCAATCTTTGCTTTGATGCTAGCATTTTTTTCCAGAGCTGTTTGTGCATTACTGGAAGATTTATTCAGGTGGGTAGCCATGTTGGTCTGAAGCAGCAGAACAAGGTTTGAGTCCAGTGTCCGCTTTAAGACCACCAAAGTTTTATTCAAAGTATGAGCTTTCAGGTGCCAGCACACTTCTTCAGATACAGTGACATCCATAGTCAAATGATGGACCACCCAACAGAACCTCAAGAAGTCTTGAAGGCCATTCGGTGTCTAAAAAATAATAAATCAGCAGGACCTGATGGATATCCCCCAGAATCTTTTTTAAAATTCACCAACATCATAGCTTGTCCCTTAACAGATGCGTGCAATGATTTATTGACATCAGGAAAAATGCCTCCCTCTTGGAAATCAGCCTCAATCATCTTGATTCTGAAACCTGGAAGGGACTTAACTGATCCAGCGTCCTTCAGACCGATTTCACTCCTTAACCAGGACTACAAACTTTTTACTGCAATATTGGCGCAACGCCTGAATGTCTTCATTGCAGACTACATTCATTGCGACCAGAAAGTCTTCATCCCTGGAAGGGACATATCCGATAATATAGTCAAGACTATCAACATCTTATCAGCCTGCAAGCAGCTGCAAACGAGAGGTCTCCTGGTCTCTCTCGACATCGAGAAAGCTTTTGACTCAATAGAGACAAAGTATCTTCTTTCCCT